CGGGCGGACAGGCAGGCAGGCAGGCAGGCAGGCAGGCGGACAGGCAGGCAGAGAGGGGTCCAAACAGACCGAAGCATTGCAACAACGGAGTGAAGACACGGAGAAGACTCCCCAGGACCCACCCATTCTGGGCACCCTGCCTAGCAGCTCCAGCTCCTCCTCTGCCTGCTGGCTCTGGCTGCCTGGCGGGATTCAGCAGGGCCTGCCCAGGTGTCAGCCACAGCGCCCCTCCCTGCAAGCTGGGCAGAGCAGCTGGCGGCTGAGACCAGTACCCACAGCTCCACCACCCTCCTGTGGACCCACATGGAGGGACCCCAGAGAGCCCTCCTCAGTGGCCAGGACTGCGGGGCTGGGGCAGGTTCTGAGCCTTTGTGCTATGGGACCCCCCGGAGTTCCCAGCATGCCCAGCCCTTGAAGGCGACACTGGCCTGTGACATGGGCACCATGTGGCTGAGGTGGAGCCTGGGCTTCCAAGGAGAGAGGCCCTCCTGGCCCTGCTGTGCCCCCGGCAGGCTGTCCTCTGAGGGCCCACAGCAGCCCCATGGTCCTGCCTGGACCCACGCCCACCAAGAGTAGGAGTCCAGGAGACCAGGCCACCAGCCCTGCCCATCGACCTTGGGGCTAGTGTGTCCTCTGACAGCCTGCTGGCCCCATTGGCTACTGCCCCTGGGGAGAGACAGGAGTAGCCTAGTGGTGGCCTGGCTAGAATGGCTGGCCTTGTATGAGGAGCTGGAAGGAGGAGGGACAGACAGAGAGGTGGGGAGCTGGCCTGGCCTTATTTGGCAGTCAGGACTGACCAGCACTGCCCAGCCACATGGTAGGAGTACACTGCCAAGCTTGAGGAGCAAGAACTGCACATGGCTGTGTGAGGCTAGAAGGTCAGGTGGTCAGGCGGGCCGAGGGCCCCAGGCACAGCAAAGGCCCCTGCCGTGGGCCACCCACACGCTCTGCTCCACGCTGGCTCAGCGCTCTGTCTGTAAGTGGGGCTTCGAGGGGCTTCGCAAGGCAGGCATGCTGTCCCTCTCAGGTCTGAAGCAGCTGGTCCCTTGCCTCGCCTGGGACATGGTGGACAGGGTGCCGGTCAGGCTGGGCACGCAGGGTTGTCAGTGGCCACCTTGCCCACACAGGGGCCGGCCTGCTGGACAGTCCCAGCCCCCCCGAAGCAACAACTCATGACACGGTAAAGGCCCCAGGGCCAGGCCTGGCCCCATGTCACCAGTTAATTCCAAACCATCGTGAGAGAGACACAGCCCTCAGACACCCCCCGACCCGCCTCCTATCGGTGTGTGCTGAGCCCCACACTGGGGTGCCTTTCTTCCTCCATTAAAGCCAGCACAAAACCTCCTCCTCCAGGAAGACTTCGGGAGCTCCGCTGAACAACAGCACTCCAAAGTGCCAGGACTGGGAGGGGCCACGTCCCACCATCTGGTTGCTGAGGGAAGATTTCGACCCCATCAGCTTCCCACTCCTGGCACCCTGCTGTCCTCCCAGAGCTCCGCAGAGGCTAGTGGTTCCTGGCTGCACCCCGCCCAATCCTGGGGGGCCTGTGCGCTGTGCCTGAGGCCCCACCCTGAAGGAGCACCCTGCTGCGCCCTTGCTGGTGGCCTCAGTGTCCTTCTCGGGGAAGGGTAGCCTTTACTTTGCAACTGCTCCCACTACGCCTACGTGGGACCCGGGATCAGATGCAAGCCAAGCTTTTGAGGGCACAGTGACAGTGCTTGGTGGAGGGTGCTGTGGACAGCTAAGCTGGGCTGTGGGTGTCCCCTGGAGCTTCCCGGAGGAGGAGGAGGAGGCACGGAGCCACTCCTGCAGGACAGCCATCTCCCCGGGGCTTGGGACAGAGGCGAGGTCTGGCGGCGCAGGGATGTCTCAGCCACAGGAGTGTCAGACAGCAGAGGCCTCCACACAGCAGCTGTGGGCGACTCGGAGTCTGCGCTGAGCTGGGACAGTTTGGTGAGAACAGGCTGTGTGGCTAGTCTGCCCCCGCCTGCCCCCCGTCCCCCTCCCCTAGGCCCATAAACGGCTCAAGGCTTTATAACCGCCTCTGCTTCCCGGCCCCACCCGACTGGTACACACAGGCTGGGAGATGAGAGCCTGTTGCGTGCCCACCCAGCCCCAGGTCTGTGGGGGACCCTGGTGGGCAGCAGGCCTGGCTGTG